CTGGGCCCAGAGTAGTGTTTGTTGTGGTGGTTGTTGCTGTTTTAATGTGACATCACTACTAGTTTCCTACAGACGCCCCACCCCCCTGATCCATTACCCCTGAAAACAAGTCCCTTTTGTCCTTGGTAACAATCGTCTATAATCCAAAGTCATGCTTAAATGATGGCACTATGTTGAGTGACAGAGATGCCCTTTATACAACCAAGAATCACACAATATTCTGCCCTTGAATCTCAGGCTGGTGAGAACCGCTTTTTATATTTGATCAGCACGTACTTCTGGGAGGTGCTGTCTGTAAGTTGGTTCTTAGCTACCGGAATTTCTAGAAAAGGAAATACTGTCCATGCTCATTTTATTCTTGCCTGCGCTAGAATATTTTAATGAAATATAATTCAATAATACATTTTTCCAAAAATTATTTAAGATGGCTTATAATAGAAGTAGTTCTATGGTCAAAGTAGTGAAGTAGAAGTTGTAAATGAGAAACAAAGAGGGCAAAAGAACAGGTGTATTCAGGTGGGGCCTTATGTTTGTCTTTTAGTTTCCTAGTAGCGGGGACTAAAAGGGAATGAAGATACATTAAACCATGTCCTTCATCATGAAAAAAAAGCATGTCATTCCTCAAGGGGAAGGATTTATAAGAATTTTATCACATGGGGATTTATATTGGGGGCATTTATTGCTAAGATGCACAGTGTTTTCAATTATAGCTTTGAAAGTATAAATTAAAAACTTGAACTGTGAAATGAAAACACAGAAGCAAATATCCTATGGCAGTTTCCTGTAGAACTAGGGTAAAGAAGAGAGAGAGAGAGAGAAGATGAAAATGCCTCCATGAGATTTTCTGGTGAGGGTGTTTCTTTCGAAGGCCTTTGAAAGAACAGAGGTCTTAGCTCGGAGGACTTGGAAGAATCTGCCCCTTAATCGGGTACATCACACTCCCCCCCCAACCCCATCTGATGTAAATGCATTTTATGCCAAAACTTTAAAATTCAGATCCAGACATCATGGTGGACACAGTCTTACTGTCCTTTTGGAAATACACTAGCACTTTATTTAGAGAGCTTCACAAGGATGCAGAAGGAGCCAAAACATAGAAGTAAAAGACGAAGACCGAAGTGGCCAAACTAGCTACTGCCTTAGTTCAGGAAAAGCACTGGAGAGAACAGTAAGACTGGAAGGGACTTCGGATAGGACCACGTCCAATTACTCATTTTTCGGGGAAACCATTGGCCCTGAGTCGTTTTGCTGACGGCAACACGGGGCCTGCCCGCTCAGCGGGTGCTCTCTGCTCTGCACGCTTGGGGGCTTGGCTCGCTCTGATTTTGCACAGCAGCGTTTCCTAGACACAGGAGATGAAAGGCATCGCATCGCAGGAGAGAGCCGGTACCCGATGTGAAGGCAGCCGGCCTGAGCATCGTAAGAAGTGGCATCCAAAGAGAAACAAAATTTATAAAAATAGGTAAAACAACTGGAAGTGCAGATGATGTGTGTGTTGGCCAAGTGTGAGGGAAATGATTTTCCGCAGCTCAGCACCGCTAGTTTATTTAACGAATAGTGCTCTAGCGACTGCTTTCAGCAGCATGGTGTTCCAAGGACCTGGCTGTTAACAGTGAGCAAAAGCCCTGCCCTCATGGAGCTCTTAGTCTACAGCAGGCAGTCGAGAGACAAGTAGTTTAATATATTTTTGAAAGATTTTCATGAAAACCATTTAAAATTACAGAAAGTGTTTTGGTGGTTCAAGGAAGTGGGTTCCTACTACAGCTATAAATTTCACTTATTTGTAACACCCCAAATCCTCAGGAGGGTGTTTTCAATTATAATAATATACTAATTTTCTGTGTTTTATTTTTCATTGAAGTCACAGATTCCAAGACTTAAAGAATTACAAAAAAGTATCCTAGTCACTAATAACTTAGGATGTATTAAAATACTTTATATCCAGTTTTAGGCAATAGTGCAATGACAAAGTAAGCTGCTTCTTGGGGGCAGGGGCAGATTTATGAGGATCAGAATCTACCCCATAATTCTCACATCAGTGATAAACATGTCACCTCATTTCAAGTCTTACAATTTCTCATATTCAGAACAGTATCTGTTGTTGAAACCATTATAATCGCCATTTTAGTTGCACTTAATAAAAGTCATCGAGCATCATTTACTACTTAAATTCAGGGTTACTGGGGAATGTTTGCTAATTTCTAATCTTGTTCTCTGCTATTCTATTTAACTATATAAACGAGTGTCTGATTATTTGCTTTTTTTTTTTTGAGCACTATAAAAAAAATCAATATCCTTTCTTAATCTGTACCCCTTATAAAGTAACTGTCAAATGCAGGTCTCTGGAACTTTGCACTTTTCTCAATTTACTCTTAATTGTATTTTGCTCTTTTATTTCATTGGACTCATTCATACAACTGCCATGCACTGCATGCCTATTACGTGTCAGGCTAAATGCAACAGGCAAACTCCTTGTCCTCCTGGAAGCTGCATCGATCCCTCTTTAGCGCGATAAAGTGTCACGCTAGGAGGTGTGAGCTGCTGAGGGAGGATACAGGGGAGCCCCCTTGGGGTGTGGGAGTGTCAAGAAGGCTTCCTGAAGAAAAAGACACCAGGCTGAGGGTGTTTGTGTCACGAATGAGAAGAGGAAGAGGAAGTGTGTTCGAGGCTGACAAAAGAGCATGTCCAAGGACAAATGTTTGTGACATTTTGAAAAAGAGAAAGCAAGTTATGAGGCAGAATGATTAAAGTGGGGAATCTGGAGGGACGAATGAATATCAGGGACTGAGGCTGGAAAGGTAAGCCGCGGGCCGGATTCCCACAGGCCTTTCTTTGTATCGTAGGACAGTGGGAAGTACCTGGAAAGTCTTCCGGCGATGGTGGGGGGCGGGGGTAGCATGATCGATGTTAATTTTAGAAACACAACTCTGGCTTCAGTGTGGAAGATGTGCTAGTTAGAGGAGGGGAAAACGAGAGACCAAGAGACGAGAGCGAGGAGTGATGCAGAAATACTGACAAGAAACGCGGGCCTGGAAGATGCCATTAGCACAGGGCGTGGAGGGAAACGGAGACATTCAAGAGATATTTACAAGGTAGATTTTTGGATATGGGAGATGAGAGAGAAAGGAGGCAGGATAACAGTCAGATTACTGGCTTGTAAAATAGTTAATTTTTGCTAAGAGACCACATATTGTGTGAGTCTGTTTATATGAAATGTCCAGAATAGGCAAAGCTATAGAGACAGAAAGTAGATTGGTGATCACCAGAGCTTGGTGGGAGGTGGGGAGGGGATAGGGGGTGACTGCTAATGAGTACAGAGTCACTTTGGGGGGTGATGAAAATGTCCTAAGATTGACTGTGGTCATGACTGTACTAAAAGCCATTTAGTTGTATCTGTAAGGTGGTGAATTGTATGGCACGTGACTTATAACTCAACAAAGCTGTGTGTGCACCACACACGGATATGTGTGTGTGTGTGTGTGTGTGTGTGTGTGTGTGTGTAATATCTATATGCAGTGCTCATGCACACCCACGTAGATTACATAAAACAAACGTTAGGCAGTTTGATTCTGGAGCTGGAGGGAGATCTAAGCCAGGGACGAAGACTCAGAAATTAGCAGTAACTGAGGTCATGGCAAGCTGATGGAATTGTCCAAAGGGAGTGAGAGGAGAAGAGAATGCAAGATTGCATCGTGGGCAGCTCCAGGAGGGAGAGGAGACTGCTGTGGAAACTGAAGAGAAGTCACTGGGGAGCAGGGAAAGGACTAGAAGAGACTGGCTAACTTGGAGGTGGGAAACGTATTTCCAGTTAATTCTCCGGGTATTAGCACATTCTCTGGGTCGCGTGGAGAAGCGCCGTTCTCTCACCGTGGCAGCGGGAGTGGAAGAGAGAATAAGTATTGTAAACGGAGGCAGCGGCGGATGCGAAGGCCTCCGGAGCACGAGAGAACGCTGCCTGCTGGTGAGGGGACACGGCGAGGGGACACAGCCAGCCCGGACACAAGGCGAAGTGCGGTCCCGGTCAGGCGAGGAAGGCCTTGGAAGGAATCTGGAGTTTATGCTGAAGGAGTTGCTGAGCTGTTAAAGGGACCATCCAGGGAGGAACATGATCAAATTCAGGGTTTAGAGAAATTTTCCGGTGTACGCTGGAAAGGATGAGATTTGCAGCATTTGGGTGGGGCCTGAAATATTGCAGAGTGAGAAACGACGGTGGTCTGAAATAGTTGCTGGGAGGTTAGAGGAGAGAGGTGAAATGGAGGGAGCTTTTGCAGGTAGAAGCACAAGTTAGAGCAACTGATTAGGCATCGGGTATGAGAGGGAGGGCAAGATCCAGGACGACTCCCAGGTTCTCGGTGTAGGAAGCCAAGCAGATGACAGTGGCACCGCAGGGAACAGGACCGGGAGAGGAATGGTGGGCTAGCAGGGCTGACGCCGAGTTCTCATGCTGCGAACTGTGAAAGTCAAAGACCTCAATAAAGTTAAAGGCCCTGACAGCTAAGACGTGCTTATCTCGGGCTCAGAATCCTGATGCATGAGATGCGGGCACCACATTAAGAGCTGTTTCTAGAATTAGATATCATAGGGGAAGTGAAAATGTCTCACTCTAGGCCCAGAATTTAAAAGATGCTCAATAAACATCCACCTCTCCCCTTCCTTATTCTACTTTCACCATAACTGGTCCGTTTGCATTAAGGGCCCTCTCTGGGGAGCTCCTGCCATGAGGGGGCTCTCTTTCTGGGTTGATATTTGCATCCCAGCTCAGACGAATGGACCAGCAGAGAAGCTGCTGGGAGGACACGTGGGTGCACGACCACGGGAGTGGCTTGCGCGTGGGGAAGAAGGACTGGAGGAGGACAAAGTGCCAGGGGAGGGCCGTGAAGAGGAAACGAAGTGGCATCTCTTTCTGCCAGGTCTTCCTCTGTGACAGGCTAACGTGGCCAGTTTCACACGGGCTTGGCGCACGCTCCGGCTCCCCCCGACAGGAAGAGTGAGCCACTCACATGCAGCAGGTAATAGTATGTGGAGTCTTCAGGGTTGTTTAATGTTTTGGGTTTCCGGGGTCGTCTTGGGGGTCTCAACATTTTTGATTCTTCTCCTTTAGGGTTACCTATGAGAAAGGTGATCATAAACAAGAGTTCAGTGACAAAGACCACTATCGAGCAATGCTTCCCTTCTGGGGTAAATAGCAAATCATCTACATGCAACTGAGGCTACAGCCGGGAGAAAGAGGAACGGCCTTTGCTCCCCCGACCAACCCTCACAGCCCTCACCACGTGCTTTCCTCCAGTTCGCTGGTGGTCTAGGACCTTGGCAGCTGGGGGGAGACAAGAGGAGGAAGGAAAGGAACGCATAGTCTGGTATTGCAGAGTAGGGAACAGCGGTGAAGAGCACAGAGGGGGTGAGGAGTGAAAGCTCCCAGAAAAACTTTAAAAAGACTGTAATGCTCATAGAATCTCTGCTCTCCCTTCCCTGCCCCTGTGCCCACACTCACATGGTGACCCAGCCACCCACGCACTGCGTGGCCTTCATTTTAAAGTCCCACCTCCTGCGTTATGGCCCAAATGGAGAGACTGCGCATTTGCAGGGTTGACTTTTCTAAAAGCCTAATCTAGCCTTTCACCAAAATTTAGAACCTCGAACCATTAGAATCTTCAGATCCGACTTTAAAGCAGTGACTAAGAAAGAATAAATTTTATCATTTTTTCCTGCTCTGTCTGTCAATATAGCTAAGTTCTCAAAGCTGGAGCGACACTGAGCTTTGGTGATCTGCATGCTTGGTTGTTGGCTTTATATTCACACAGCTAACAGGCCTCTCACTAAATATTTCTATTTTTTTCCCGATTCTTGATCACCCCATCCTGACTGCATTTGTGCAAGAACGTCCACTTGACACGTACATCAGAGTGAGGGTGGGAGCTGAGCATGGGGGCTTATCGGAGAGTGGCTGCTTTCAACAGATACCTGAGCATCTATTTCTTAGCAGGACTTTAAGAGCAGTAATAAATCATGATTGCATCTAATAAAGGGGCAGCGATGATTCCTAATCTCCAGATGTAGAAATATACAGAGAAATCGAATTGTCCCAAACCATACTAATCACATCAAGTCAAATCTAATCAGATCAATGAATATTTATACCTACTGCACATAAACGATTGTGACTGGCAGTGGAAATCAGCTTCGCCAGCATGGAAGACTCAAGATGTCTGATCCCCTAGTCCCATGATTCGCCCACTAGGTGAACATATTTATCACAACAGCATTCATATTCCAACACCGTCAAGCTCGTTCATGTCACAATCTACGGAAACCACTGGATGACAAAGGAAATCAGCTACTTGGGAGGATTTCCAAGAGGTGTAATGCATGAAATAATGCTAATCAGAGGAAGTCTCAACAATCATGCACTACTGTCCTCTTTTGAATAAAAGAAAAGAAAATAAGATATTTATTAATGAGACCCTGTTAATAGAGATTAGTAATAGACAAAAGGAAAAGCACTTTGCAACCAGTCCCTGCAGGTTCATCTCTCATTTTCTCTCTCTCGCTTCTCCCCAGGAAGAGACAAAAGAGGTGCAAGGAGTCCAAATATCGGAGCCATTTCTGGATCCTGTGTTACCCTGTCACAGGCACAAGGAATGATGGGAAAGCGTGAATTCTTGCCACCAGCACAAATAGCAGTCGTTTATTTTTCCCTTCTCTTCACTTAACATCTCTCCCAAGAGCTCCTATTGGCTCTTGCATAGTTTTATCATTTTATTTTATTTTACTTATATTTTTTATTTTTTTTGAAGCAGAGTCTCACTCTGTTGCCTGGGCTAGAGTGCCGTGGCGTCAGCCTAGCTCACAGCAACCTCAAACTCCCGGGCTCAAGCGATCCTCCTGCCTCAGCCTCCCGAGTAGCTGGGACTACAGGTATGTGCCACCATGTCCGGCTAATTTTTCTATTTTTAGTAGAGACGGGGTCTTGCTCTTGTTCAGGTTGATCTCGAACTCCTGACCTCAAGTGATCCTCCTGCCTCAGCCTCCCACAGTGCTAGGATTACAGGCGTGAACCACTGCACCTGGCCAAGTTTTATCATTTTAAAATGTAATGGCCATATCCACTTATATTGCTCATTTGAATCTGAATGGCAAGAAACATAAAAATATAGTATCAAGTTATTACATATTCTTAATATTTTTAGGAACATAGGAAAGTGGCCTGTGACTAAATTTTACCTTAACTTTAATATTATTTAAGGTCTGAATTAAAATATCAGAACATTTCTATTGTGACACAAATGAATTAAATTGAAACGGCAAAGAATCTGAATACATGCCAGGAGAGTGAAAACAAAAAAGTTTCGGAGAATAAAGGCATTCTTGAGCTCGTCTCCATTTTCTTAGCAAATGTTCCCCATTCAATCTGATTCCTGTAACCAAGACTATTGGAAATGCTTTCTAGAAGGTCAAGGGTGCAGTTCACTGCCAAATCCAAAAGCCCTTCATCTGTCCCTATTATCCCTGACCTCTCCATCACTAAGCATCATCGACCCTCCCTGCCTTCGGGACTGCGGATGGGATTCTGAAGGCAGATGCCTTAGCGTATTGATCTCTGGCACTTAGGGAAATGCTTGGCACACAGTAAGTGCTTAATAAAAGTTTGCTGGATGAGTAAGGGATCTCCCCTTTGCCTCGTGGGTTGAACCATCTCCTCCCAGCTCCTTATGGTTTTCACAGAGTACGCCACAGGGATGTCTTTCTAATGCACACCTCATATTGGACCCCTCCAGTTCCACATGGGCTCCCGCCCTAATTTCTTATTCCCTACTGAATGCTTCCGTCTCCAACTCTCTGACTCCCATGAACTGGTGGTCATCTTTCTTTTCCATCTAGGACTCTGCACACTACAACCTCAATGGCAACATTGTTTCTGTCTCCCAGGTTCAAAACATCGATGTCACCTTTGCTGCACTGCTCTTCTTCATTTCCTACAGACAAGCAATCATCAACTTTCATCAATTTTGTTTTTCGTTATTTGGTTTGGTTTTTGTTTTTTGAGACAGGGTCTTGCTCTGTGTCCCTGCACTCCCAGGATAGAGTGCAGTGGTGTCATCATAGCTCACTACAGCCTCGAATTCATGGGTTCAAATGATCCTCATCCCTCAGCCTCCTTAGTAGCTGGGACTACAAGGACACACCACCACGCCCAGCTCATTTTTCTGTTTTTTGTAGAGATGGGGTCTCACTATTGCCCAGGCTGGTCTCGAACTCTTGGGTTCAAGTGATCCTCCCGCCTCAGCCTCCCACAGTGCTGGGATTACAGGCATGAGTCACCATGCCTGGCTTGTCAATCGTTTTTGACGCATTTTTCAAAATGTCTAATATTCATCCGCCATTTCTTCTCGTTTACCATTGCCACCCCTCTCGGCCAAAAGAACTCATATAATTATTGTGGCAGAGTCTTAATCTGGTCTCCATGTTTTATCTCACAAATGAAAACCAGATTTTCCTTCCTTCAATAGCACTTTAATTATAAAATGTCATTTTTCAAAAATTTATGATGATGCCTCTTTTTTCCTACTTTACCAAGCTTAAACTTCTCCTGAATCTAGGTCATTTACAGTCTCAGCAACTCCAATTTTATCTCCAGCTTTTCCCCCAAATGAGCTAGGTCTTCTGGTCAGTCCAGTGACCTCATCGGAATCCTGACACGTCATGCTCAAAGCTGTAACTTCGCTGAATCTCACTTTCTCATAGGAAAGCTTTTCACAGCCTCACTGAAATCTCACTGTCTCTTTCGTGAAGCTTTCACTCACCACCTAGTGGCACTTGCTGGTTGCTTAGACCATTTGCAACCTGTTAGGGGCTGAGTTGTATCCCCTCAAAGTCCACATGTTGAAATCCTAACCCCCCACTACTTCAGAATGTGAGTGTATTTGGGGATAGGGTCTTAAAATAAGGTAAATGGGGTGTCCTTATAAGTAGAGGAGATGAGGACAGACACACACGAATGAAAGACCACGTGAAGACGCAGGGTGAAGATGGCCATCTACAAGCCAAGGACAGAGGCCTCAGAGAAAAACAACCTTGGTGACATCTTGATCTTGGACTTCTAGCCTCTAGAACTGTGAGAAAATACATTTCTCTTGTTTAAGCCACCCAGTTGGTAGTATTTTGTTATAGCATCCCTGGAAAACCAATATAAAACCTAATTCTGTATTTCTCACCCTTACTATTTTTACCTGTGATTTTTTTTTTAACAGTGGGACCAGAAGTTTCTGGGTAGAGGGATCATGACTTAGGTTTTGAGGTCCTTCTGCCATTTCACTGGCTGTCTGCATGGGGTAGGCGTTTGGAGATGCTAAGAGGTTTGATTCCTTTTTTGCTTGGTGACACAGTGCTAAGTGAAGAGTAGAAGATAATATACTTTTGTTAACTGGATCACTATTGTCACCACATATAAAAATAAATTCCTGATGCTTTACAGATAGCAAATAAAAGAATTAATAAAACTTTTGGAAGAAAATTTATGAAAATTCATGACAATCTTGGGGTATAAATGTTGTAGTTAAAATTTAGAAGTTCTAAAAAACATAGGCATATTTGCCCCTTAAAAAATAGATAAAAATCTTTCTATGGCAAGGAAGTCAAAAGACATATGATAGACTTGAGAAGGTATGTTTACAACACAGAGGACAAATAAAGGGTTGATACGTTTAATATGCAAAGAGTGCTCACAAATGACTACAAAAATAGAGACCAACAGAAAAATGGGCAAAAGATATAAGTAGCAAGTTCAAGATGAGCAAATCCAAAAAGCAAATAAGCATGGGAAGGAACCTGTGTTTATTAGCAAACAAGGAGATATAAAATAGTAATAAGGTATCATTTTACTCCAGACACATTGGCAAAGATTTTTAAAAAAGGATAACACAGATGGACAAGATGTCAGGACAAGTGTATTCTCATAAATTGTTGAAGGAATTGTCAATTGTTAGAGCCCTTTAGGAAAGCAATCTATCAAAACCAAAAACACCTTTCAACTCAATAACCCCGTCCCTGGAGATTTATCCCATAAAATTAAAATCCCAGTATACAAGAACATTCTCAAAGACATTTACT